AATGCTTTAGGGGTTTCCCGAATCAACTTGTTGTTTGATGTTCAATCTTCACAATCGTCGCAACTAAATCAGACCAATTGGCATCCAAATCACTATGGCCAAATCACCGTCATGTTCATGGATGTATCAAAAAAATCAAATCCATGTTCCAGTCATGATTCGTGAATGAAATTTTAATTTCATCAATGTTTTATGGATGAATCATAGAAACTGACATCCATGTTTTCAGCCATGATTCTTTGATGAAACATCAATTTAATTTTCATCCAAGTTTCATAGATGAATCCTAGAACTGACATCCATGTTTCAGTCATGATTCAGCAATGAAACATCAATGTAATTTGCATCCATGTTTCATAGATGAAACATGAATGAACGTCGTTAAAATGGCCCTGCAACATGAATGATTTATGGATGCAAAAAAAGTAAATGATGATATATTTTCGAATGCAATGCATCTTCAACCCGAGATTCAAAATAAATGTCAAAATAGAACCAATTTTGGTCTTCGATATGTCAATAATAGTCCCCTAAGTCACTTAACTATCTGATCTACAGTTTGTTTCAATATGGACTTTTTGGCCTTTTTTGAAAACATTTAGCTACAAGATCAAATTATTCACCCATCCCATATTTTATCTCATAGTTTTTTCATTCATCGTATATTTACTAAACAAATCTGTCATCTTATTTGATACTATTGTTTTTATAGGTTCTAACGTCGTGCAATTTCAGTTACATAGGTTTAATTGCATTCTACATTACAATGTCAATTAAATGACCCAGCTAACGTAGAATGTTTTTTAAAGCTCAACATTGCTTTTTTATGCTTAAAAAAAGAAGCATTTATAGGAAAAATATTATCTAAAAAACTCTTTTCGTCTTGTACTTTCAATAAATTGTTTCAATGCTTCAAAAAATTCACTCATGATATGTTTCGGGCCTCAACGGGTTGCAAAGTTCCACCTCGTTCCCGCAATGTGTTTCATTTGGTTGTAAATGTAGTAAATTTTACAGTGACTGGAATCTATATTGCAAACTATTATTTATGATTAATATGATTAATATTTCAGGTAAATCGACTTTTTCAAATCATAACGATTGCTGTTGTTCAAATTGCCCGTCGCAACAATCAGAAACATCGGAAACAACAGAGAAGAAAAGTCATTTCAGTGTAAATTTATTTCTAAATGCTATATTTTTCGGTTAAACTAATTCTTCGATTAATTTTAATCAGACTTTGTTTTATGTTTCTAAGCAAAGTAATGTCATTATGAGTCTAAACTGTGCTTCTTGGGATATGTTAGCGAATTCCGCAACAAGTAGACTCCCTTTTTTCTTCTTTTGTTCTTTCATTTTCTTTGATCGTTCCAACAAAAATCTTAACAAGTTTAAAGACTTGTCTCTGGAATCCAAGAACATACAGACACAAATTGTGCGCCTATCCACTGCACAGTTTGACCTCGTAATGGCTGTTTTTTGTTCCAATTTTCAAAAAGAAAAAACTTGAAAGCTTGAAATCTGGACTTCAAAATTACAAAACAAATAAGCCAAAATTCCATTTTTGGACGCCTAAAGAAGCAGTTCTTAGCTGAGAATGTTTTGCTCACTCGCACCTTTGTGCATGAAAAAAGCGAAGCCTTGTATGTGGGGTTAAAAAAAGAGCATGTTTAATGGGTCCAAAGGTCAGTTTGCCGAGACTAAGATTGAAGTGGAAAAACTCTATCTATACAAACTCGATCAGTTAGTTGTGTTAAGCATATAATTCATCCTTTGATGCCAAAAAAATCCCTCAATTTTGACACACTGACTCCTCTGCAGTTTGATCTTTCACCGTTTAAACAACATTCAGAGAAGCAAATGTGATTGTTTTTAACTTGTGTTTATGAATTTTCGTTGATTTTCACGTCAAATACTGCTAATTGAAGGCCACTTCAAAACTAACCAGATTCAACTCACATGGGATATTCAGCATATTAACCCACGGTTTATCTTTGTATGGCCTTCCATAATAAAAGGCATAACTTTGTGGAGGATCAATGTTCCCATCTTTTCTGCAACAAAACAATTGCTGTTAAATTTTGATAAACGCCAAAAAAAAACATAGCTAACAGATAGTTGGAAAAAAAAATCGAGAATCGCAAAAAAAAAAACAGATAAAAAAAAATTATATTTGAATGCCTCAAATCTTTTTCGTTTTCAAGAGCAATTTTTTTTTGACAATTTTTTCGACAAAGAAATTTTATCAATGGATTAATTTTTTATTCCGCTCGGGAACCCCAAATTTTAAAATCGATTTGCAAAACTACAACCGATTCATGTTTTTTTTTCTGCGCCAGTTTTGCTTTCGTTAATCGGTAAGCGCAATCTACCTAACTTTCAGCACGAAAATGAAAAAGACAAAAAACCACTAAGACCTAAACCATACCAAAACAGCAACCTAGCTTTTCAGAATAATCCATAAATAAATTTGCATAGCTAAGCAATGTTTAACGTTAGTTGATCTCGGATCTAAAGCTAAATTTAATGAGGATGAATTAAAAATTTTTTGCGGATCACTGTCCTAAAGAAAACTTGATCAAAGCTAGTTTTTTTACTTCAACGTTGAAGTGTTTAAGCATCCAATTAAGTTGGGAGAGCTTTCATCAAAAATATAAACCTAACATAGCACAATAAAATTTCCAAGAAAAATCACATTTTTTGAATCTGTAGTGTGTTTTTCAACTGGCACGTAAGACCTTTTTGAAAAAAGATTAGTTTCAGAAGAGACAGAATAATTGAAATGTTTTTACTCATTTTTTTCAGGTTTGTTCACCATGAAGAAAATTGTTTTCCACAATCCAAACAAATCTTTCAATATTGAATAGCAAAAAAAAACTGTTTTGGAAGCAATTCTTGAGATGATTGAGAACATTCAACATCATGAGAGAAATTACTTACGCTACATATGCAATATAACAGGGTACAAAAGCAATTAGCAAAAGCACAAAAGCCATTCCACACAGTATTGTTGCATATACACAACTAACTAAATTGGCATCGCATTTTCCCATTTCCCAGGTGTGTCGTTGGTTTAAACTTGAACTTGCTAATTAACTTTTTTTCTATCAGAAAATAAATAATTTTTTTAAAAATTCTATAGCAAAACTGTTTTTGGAGGTAAAAAGCTACTTTATTTTGACAAAATTCTTGGAGATACTTCTTTTACAGGTTGAATTAACCTTAATCATAAAGTTTTGCGGCCACGCTTTTAGTTACGCCACATCTTACCAAAAGAGCTTGAATTTTCAAATTTTTATCTTTGATTAAAGATATTGCTTTCTGACGTTTCAGTAAAGGCTTTTGTCGTCAGTATTTGCGTGAAAATTTTTCGCGTCAAAAAAGCATCCAAGGTGTTGTGACTAGAAAAAAATCAAAAGAGCTTGAATTTTCAAATTTTTATCTTTGATTAAAGATATTGATTTCTGACGTTTCAGTAAAGGCTTTTGTCGTCAGTATTTGCGTGAAACTTTTTCGCGTCAAAAAAGCATCCAAGGTGTTGTGACTAGAAAAAAATCAAATCTCAGTTAGTTTTAAAAAGTTACAAAACTGAGTACCAACTTACAAAAATTCTCTCACAACGGCCTAGAAAAAAATATTAAGGCTGGATGATTTTTGTATTTTATGATCCGAATACCAAAGGCCGCAGCAGCCAAATATTTTCAATTTTTCACAGTCATTTTAAAAATTTTTTACATTTTGAACTTTCATAAAACACAGTGGCCCAGAAATTCTCTGAAAAAACAAAGATTTAACCAAAGGAAATTTTTTAAACTGGAAAAGTAGCACAAGAAAAAGATGACTTAAAGTTTTTTAAGTCAAAAACTTAAAAAAACTAATTAAGAAAGATTTTGAGCACATAATAAATTTGTTTTGATCTCAATTAAAAGTTTCCTTTGTCCGGTTTTTCTGAATTTCAAAAACGTCCGATGGATTAAACTGCATATTAAAAGATTAATCTAAACTTTTGATGCTATTAACATCCAATTAACTTGAAAACAAAATCCAAAAACATTTAATTGCCAACGCAATGTTTGAAAACTTCCAAAAGTTTTTTTGCCGATGCAAGTTAGTCTATAATATCTATAAAATTTATCCCAATATAGACCCTAGTACTTTCTGCTTTTGCCTCAAATTAGTATAATCACAGTAATTTTTTTTAGTTGCGGTGCTATAATGTGAAAAAGAACTGTAATTACAGCAAACAGAACCTAACAAAAAATTCAAAAAAATTTGCTTGCGTCACTTTTGCAGAACCTTTCAATTTGTTTTGTCTTTACAAAAAAAAATATATCTTGCTCTGAGAACGAGGAAAAAGCTTATATAGCTTGGTGATTAAAAGAATTGCGAACTACACTAGTGGATAAAACTAAGCGCAAAATCTAGATTTTACTCTGTAAAAAACTTTTACTCTGTCTTTAATGTACATTTTGGACAACATTTTCTTGGAATTTCTATAACATTTTTACACCCCCGAGAGCAAATATCAAAGCTACCATCTGTGAACGTATCATTTTTTGGTTTCAATGACTTACCAATGTAATCCGGTTCTGAAAATGCCCGTTTTCCTCATCTGCACTAATTTTTTTACTTAGCGTGAATTAGTATCAATTGTCTGAGTTTAGAAGAAACTTCAAACTGATTGTTTCCGTTTTGTCGCTGAGAATGTTTCACGTTGCACGAACAATTTTTTTTACTACGGTGCAAAACTTAGTGCAGATGAGGAAAACTGGTTTT